CATTTTCTATAATTGGACTCATTCTAGGACATCTACTCTCAACAATACCTTCAACATAATACTGGAAGTTCTATTTACTGAACTAAGGCAAGTAAAAGAAAAGGCATATATATTGGAAAGTACTGATTTAAAAAATCTGCACATGCATGTGATATTGTTGTCTTATTAGAAAATTCCAAAATCTACCAAAAAAAATTCTTAAAAGTAATAAGTAAGTTTGGCAAGTTTGCCAGACAATTTATCAAAATGCAAAAATTAATTGCCTTTCTACAGACTAATAACAATCTCATGGAAACCAAAATTAAACATGTAAAAATATCTACAATTCCTCTGAAGAAAATGGCATGGGTATAAATTTAAGAAAACAGGTACAGCATCCGTAACATGAACATTTCAAAATGTAAATTAAAGAAATCAAAGAAGCTCTAAATCAATGGAGAGAAACACTGTGTTCATGGATTAGAAGATTTAACAGAGTAATAATCTTAATTATTTCCAAGCTGATCCATTTGTTTAATGCAATTTCTACCAGAATCTTAGCAATATATTTTTAGACACAGACAAGCTTATTTTAAAACTTGTGTGAGAGGTATAGGTCCTAGAATTATTCAAATAATTTTGAAAAAAGAAGAATATAATGGAGAAATTTCTCTACCCAACATCAAGGCCTATTAGACAACTACAGCAGCCAAGACAATGTGCTACTACTGGTGAAACAGACAAAAAGACCAGAGGAAAAAAAAATAGAGAACCCAGAAGTTGACAAACATATATTTGTCCAACTGACTTTTTTTTATAAGGGTACCAAAGCAATTTAATAAGGGAAGGAGCACCTTTTCAACAAATGATGCCGAAGCAATTGGGTGTCTAAATTAGTCTCAACTTAAATTTTATGCCTGTATATAATATCTAAAATGTAGGACTATAAAATGTTTAAATAAAAACTGGAGAAAAATCTTTTGGACCTAAGGCTAGGTGAAAAGTTCTTAGAATTGAAATTAAAAGCACAATCCAAAAGCTGAAAAGTTGACAAATTAAACTGTCAAAATGAAAAAAAACAACAACAAAGTTTTGCCTTGTTAAAGACCCTGTGAAGAAAATAAAAGGATAAACAAGGTACTGGAAAAAAGTATTTTCAAAGCACATTTTGACAAAGGAATTGCATCTAGAATGTATAAAGACTCTCAAAACTTAGTAAAAACAAAACAAAACCAAACCAAAAATATGATGAAAAATATGGGTAAAATAAATGAACAAACATTTCACTGAGGAGGCTACATGGATGGAAAATAAGCCCATAAAAATATGTTCAACATCATTTTCCATAAAGGAAATTCAAATTAAGACCAAAAATTGGGTATCAGTACCTCCTACCAAAATAACTAAAATTGAAAAAAAAATTGTGGAAATACCACATGGTGGTAAAGATGTGGAGAAAATGGATCATTCATGAAATGCTTCAAGGAATGTAAAATTGTCCAGCCACTATAAAATACAGGTTGCAGTTTCTTTTAAAAAAAAAAAATCTAAACATGCACTTTCCATGTGATCCAGCAATAGCACTGCTGGGCATTTATTTCTAACAAGTGAAATATTATGTTCATGCAAAATTTGTCAACAAATGTTTATAGCAGCTCCATTTGTAAGAATCACAAACTGGAATGTTTAAATGGTGAATGGGGACTTCCTTGGTGTCACAGTGGTTAAGAATCTGCCTGCCAATTCAGGGGACACGGGTTCGAGCCCTGGTCCAGGAAGATCCCAAATGCCGCGGAGCAACTAAACCCATGTGCTGCAACTACTGAGACTGTGCTCTAGAGCCTGAGAGCTACAACTACTGAGCCCATGTGCCACAACTACTGAAGCCTGTGCACCTAGAGCTCATGCTCTACAACAAAGAGAAGCCACCACAATGAGAAGCCCATGCACAACAACGAACAGTAGCCTCTGCTTGCTGCAACTAGAGAAAGCCTGTGCACAGCAATGAAGACCCAACACAGCCAAAAATAAATATATTAATTAATTAGTTAAGAAAAAATAAAGGGTGAATGGTTAAATAAAGAGTGTTACATCCACGTCTTTAAATCCTACTCATCAAGAGAGACTACTGATACACATAACAGCCTGGGTAGATTCAGTCTGAGTAAAAAGGCAGTCTTCAAAATGTTACATGCTATTTGATTCTGCTTATATAGCATTCTTGAAATGACAAAATTATAGAGGTAAGAGGGTTGGAGGTGGTGGTGGAGACAGGCGTCTGTGATTATAAGAAAGCAACATGTGTGATCCTTGTGATGAAACTGTTCTGTATCTTGACTTACATTCTGGGCACATAAATGTAAATGTAATAAAATAGCATAGCACTACACACGAACACACACAATTAACACATGTAAAACTGGTGGACTTGAGTAAGGTCAAAGGATTTCTAAAATGCCAATATTCTTATTGTGATTTATAGTATAGGGCCCTCTCTGTGTTATTTCTTATAGCTCATGTGATGCTACAACTATCCCAAAACAAAAAGCTTAAAAAATTAATAGAAACAAAATAGTGAAATAGTTCACTCATTTAGGGATAATAAGAAAATATAAAAAGGAAATCTGAATTATTTTCCTTTTCCTTAGTATTATGAAGTCTGTTTCTTCAAAGAAATATACCTCCTTAAGTACATGGGAACACATCTAAATATTTTCCATTTATACCACTGTGGACTTGATTCTTAAAAGCATTGTTCTGGAAAAGTCATTTTTTTCTGAAAAGAAATGAATGTTTCTTGTATAATTCATCCTATTTGCAGAAAATGAAACAGGTGTTCTATTTGAATTATAATATTTCAAAATAACAAGAATACTTCTATTAGTGCCTAGCATCCTGATTCCTTAGTACTCAAGTTGAAAAACTTAAAAATTAAAGTTTCGTTGAAATTCTTAAAATTTTCCAGTTTACATTTGCATGAAATGGCTTTCTTTTTAAGACATTCTTTTCAAGCCATCAGCAGATTTATTGAAAATCCTATCAAGATTCCAAAAACATTTTTTTAAAGAACTAGAAAAAAAATCTTAGAATTTGTGTAGAACCACAAATGACCCTGATTATACAAAGCAATATTGAGAATAAAGAACATAGCTGGAAGCATCACCATACCTGAAATTCAAACTATATTACAGAGCTATAGTAATCGAAAGAGTATGGCACTGACATCAAAACAGACACATAGACCAATGTAACAGAATTGAGAGCCTGTAAATAAATTCCTGCATATGTGGCCAACTAATATTTGACAAAGGAGTCAAGAATACTCAAAGGAGAAAAGAGCCTCTTCAATAAATGGCGCTGGAAAAATAGGATATTCACATGTGAAAGACTGACTATAGACCACTATCTTTCACCACTCACAAAACTTAACTTGAAATGGATTAAAGACTCGGAAATATAAGACCTGAAACCAAGCAATTCCTAGAAGAAAACTTAGAGAAAAAGTTTCTTGACGTGGGTCTTGGTAATAAATTTTTGGATATGACACCTACAGCAAAAGCAACAAAATAAAAGTAAACAAATGAGACTACATCAAACTAAAAAGCTCCTGCAAAGCAAGAGAAACAATCAACAAAGTGAAAAGGCAGTCTATTGAATAGGCAAAAGTATTTGCAAACCACATACCTGATAAGGAGTTAATACCCAAAATATACAAAGAACTCACACAACTGAATAGCAAATAAATCATCCAATTTAAAAATGAGCAAAGCACCTGAATAGACATTTTCCCAAAAATACATTAAAATCGCCAAGAAGTACATGAAAAGATGCCCAACATCACTAATCATCATGGAAATGAAAATCAAAACACAATGAGAAAAATATCAACCTCATGCCTGTTAGAATGGCTATTATCAAGAAAAGAAAAATAGCAAATGCTGGTAAGGATATGGAGAAAAAGGAACCCTTGTTTGTGTACTGTTGGTGTGAATGTCAACTGTTATAGCTACCATGGAAAACAGTAGAGAAGATCCTCAAAAAATTAAAAACAGAACTATCATATGATACAGTAATTCCACTTCTCGGTTTTTTCCCAAAGAAAACAAAAAAAATTTTTTTGAGAAGATATATGTACCCAATGTTCTTACAGCATTATTTACAATGGTCAAGACAAAGACAATGTAAGTGACCATCATGAGATAAATAGATAAAGAAGTTGTGGTATATTCAGTTGACCATTTAACAACAAATGTCTGAACATTACACGTCCATCTATACTCAGATTTTTTTCAATAATAAATACTATGTATTACATGATCCGAGTTTGGTTGAATCCACAGATGTAGAGTGCAGATATGAGAAACCCAGTACAGGGAGGGCTGACTACATGTTATACATCGATTTTCAAATGTGCAAAGGGTCGCCATCCCAACCCCTGAGTTGTCTCAGTGTCAATTATACATATAGTGGCTATTCAGCCACTAAAAAGAAAGACATCCTGTCTTTTGTGACAACATAGATGGGCTTTGAGAGCATTATATAAGTGAAATAAGTCAGACAGAGAAAAACAAATACTGCATAATCTTAATTTTAGATATGGAATCTAAAGAAATCTAACTCATAGAAAAAGAGATCAGACTTGTGGTTTCCAGAGGCGAGGGGTGGAGAGTGGGGGAATTGGGTGAAGGTGGTCAAAAGGTACAAACTTCCGGAAATAGGATAAATAAATACTAGGGATGTAATACACAACATGATGACTATTAACCCTGCTGTATGGTACATTTGAAAGTTGGTAAGAAAGTAAATCCTAAAAGTTCTCATCACACACACACAAAATAAACCTTTTTTGTAACTATATGAGGTGATGAATGTTAACTAAACATATTGTGGTAATTGTTTCACAGTATATGTAAGTCAAGCCATTATGCTCTACACCTTAAACTTATACAGTGTTGGATGTCAATTATATTTCAATAAAACCAGAAGAAAAAAATCCATTCTACTCAGAATATAAGGTACTCACCCATCATTAGGTGGCCATGCGGTTCCCTCATCTCCTTTTTTCTTTACACTGATGGGTAGCTGCAAAATATTATGATATGCCATGTTGGTAATCATAAAAACTTGGTTGTCCAACCAAATGTAAAAGTCTGTTATATTTCAAATATCTCTAAGGCTATGACTACAAAGTATCTTCACTCTGTGTTTCTACCCAAGTTGGAAACTCTGAAGTATAGTTGTTATTACAATATTTTGTCATTTTAATTTTTGTTCCAAAGCACGTAAGGTTGAAAAATATTTTTCTCTTGTCCACCCATTTCAAGCAGTAAGAAAGCTAGAGGTTTCTTTAGTAGACAAGATCATGAGGCTATACTTTATTGTGTAGCTTATGATAGTCACAGCATTTTCTTTTAGGGTAATTTATTAGCTTGTATACCTGACAAGCACTCCAAATTCTACAACCATAATTTAAATAGAGCTGAATTCAACTACCTTATGTGAAAGAGGAACTCAACCTCCTCTATGTCCTCTTATGATCATTTTTAATCTTTCAATTTAATGTATATTTCCTGTGCTTTCTACATGTCATGTATATACTAGGCACAGACAAATAGTATAAATAGAAAAATGTCATTGCTAATCTCAAAAATATTTAGAAACTACTCAGGAAAAAAGACCACTGGGCAAGTATTTAAAATAAAGTATGGTAAACATAAGAAAAGGAAACCTCTTGCTTTTATGTTGATTACTCTTTAGTCTTATGCCAATCCTGGATCCTAAATTCATAGTTTGTAAATAATACTATATTGAATCAATATGGCAGTTAAATTAAAGACAACCCAGTAATAATCCACATGATCTCTCATGAAATTCTGTTTGAGAAAAAAATAGAAAAAAAGGAAAACCCTTTTTAGCTTAATAATATATCTCTTTTGATAGTTACTTTTCTGAATTTTTTGAAGATGGAATTAGTCAGTTTCCTCTAAAAGGTTAATTAATAATCTCTCTGTCAATCTTCAATAGAAAGTAGAACTTACACTATTTAAAAACAATTTTATTGGAGTATAGTTGATTTAAAATGTTGTGTTAGTTTCTACAGTACAGCAAAGTGAATCGGTTATACATATACATATATACACTCCTTCTTAGATTCTTTTTCCCATATAGGTCATTACAGAGTATTGAGTAGAGTTCGCTGTGCTATACAGTAGGTCCTTATTAGCTACCTATTGTATATATAGTAAGAACCTACACTCTTTTTTCTTATTGTGTTATTTGGACTGACTCCCTGGATATTTGGTGGAAGGAACTCCAGGCTCCAATTTTTATTGCATCTTCATATGTTAATTTCTAAGAATACATATTTTTGGATTGTTGGTACTAGTAAGGCAGGTACTGGGGATACAAAGGTCATAATGAGGTAGGAATTAGACTGCTTATATTTATATATTGTATTATTGAATCCTACTGCATTATTTAATTAGTTATATTGTTTAATCTTCATAACAACCTCAAGTTTTGATATTTTCCCTTTCTCATTACAAAACTAAGGCTATATTACTTAGATTAAAATACAATAAATAAAATAATAAAATGAAATAAAATACCAGAGTAAGTTAATAAGAAAAATTTTTTAGCATAAGAAGTTACTTTTTTTAAACAAGTGACAGACCTGGGATTAAAAACAGAGTTCTGTTTGATGTTGAAATCCTCTTGGTATACTAAATGGCACTGACAGCTTTCAGGTCATATGAAATAAAGATGTCTGCTTTGAAATTTGAAGATTCTAAAATATAGCCAATCAATCTTTCCTGGTGACGTCCTATAATCATTTGCAACTGTATATTTGCTTGGATCCAAATACTTGCCATAATTTTATATCAGTTACTTTACGTTCCTCCTTAACACAAATGTAAGCAAAGGAGCACCCCTTGGGGCAGAGTGACTTGCCCAAGGACAGAATCCATTTGATGTATTCCAAACTAACACATAAAATTGCAGCTCTATTTACAATAGCCAGGACATGGAAGCAACCTAAATGTCCATGGACAGATGAATGGATAAAGAAGATGTGGCACATATATATACAATGGAATATTACTCAGCCATAAAAAGAAACGAAATTGAGTTATCTGTAGTGAGGTGGATGGACCTAGAGTCTGTCGTACAGAGTGAAGTAAGTCAGAAAGAGAAAAACAAATACCGTATGCTAACACATATATATGGAATCTAAGAAAGAAAAAACAAAAGGTCATGAAGAACCTAGGGGTAAGACGGGAATAAAGACACAGACCTACTAGAGAATGGACTTGAGGATATGGGGAGGGGGAAGGGTAAGCTGTGACAAAGTGAGAGAGTGGCATGGACATATATACACTACCAAAGGCAAAATAGATAGCTAGTGGGAAGCAGCCACATAGCACAGGGAGATCAGCTCGGTGCTTTGTGACCACCTAGAGGGGTGGGATAGGGAGGGTGGGAGGGAGGGAGATGCAAGAGGGAAGAGATATGGGAACATATGTATATGTATAACTGATTCACTTTGTTATAAAGCAGAAACTAACACACCATTGTAAAGCAATTATACTCCAATAAAGGTGTTAAAAAAAAACAATTCAGTAAGAGAAATGTAAATTGGAAGGAACATTTTTGCTTTTTTGTTTTTGAGGATGAAGTGATTTTTAAAATTCTGTTAACCCTGGCAACTTCTAGGCAGGAGTTTGAGAGCAGTAGATATTTGGGGGGACATTATTCCTTTGCAGTTAGATCAGGTATATATAGATATAATTTACTCATTTACTCATTTTGTTTTCAGTGTGAAGATGTTGAGTTGTTTTACCAAGTCCTCCTAATTGTCACATGCAGTCGTTCAGATCACTCAGACCTGAATGTTTACAAATTAGGAAAATAATCTGATGACATATTCTAATATTTCTACCTAACTTTATGAAACTTAATAATATTCCAAGAACTTCAGAGCTCTGTAACATCTTTGTCTCTCTGACAGAACAAAGTGCTAGCATATCATCCTGAAAACTTAGATTCCCACATCACAGTTCATAAGATTCATTCACTTAACAAAGGCTTATTGATCACTTTATATATAATATGCTGGGAAGGGGTCTAAAGATGCATTTATATCTCTTGTTTCAACAGTTCTTTAGTTTGGTCTTCCTGGTTTGCACATTTTAATGCCTACACTAAATAATGCCATGTTTAGTTAAAACAACACTACTATAATTTAATATTATTTACTGAAATTTTAAGAATAAAGTGAATATACATTTTCTTATAAAAGATTTAATTATGTGCCTCAAATAGATATTTACCCATGTAAAGGTAATTACAAACAGAGTCCAATCACTACAAAGTATATGTGGACATTTGAAATTTTCTATTTACAGTATAATTTTTGGAAAAAAAATCAGCAGACAACATAATTTTAACTTCATTTTCTTCAGATAACAAGGCTTTAATCTGAATAGTATTAACACGTTTAACTAGCAACTCATGATTCTGAGGTCTCTGGATTATTTAGATTTACCTGTCTTTAAAAATCTGCTTGATGCTAGTGACAAAGTTACAATAGTCTAAAGGTGAATTAACACATTTTAAGAATTGTTGCAGTATCGTCAATTCATTTTACGCCTCAACATGTAAAGAACTGCAAAATTTCAAAGAGAGCTTTGATATGGTCCTGACCTATTCTTTTTTTTTTTTAACATCTTTATTGGGGTATAATTGCTTTACAATGGTGTGTTAGTTTCTGCTTTATAACAAAGTGAATCAGTTATACATATACATATGTTCCCATATCTCTTCCCTCTTGCGTCTCCCTCCCTCCCACCCTCCCTATCCCACCCCTCCAGGCAGTCACAAAGCACCCAGTCGAGGTCCTGACTTATTCTTCTGAGGAACTGAAAACTTTTTTAAATAGTTGAATTATAAAAACATTAGAGAAAAAAACAGAAAAGTTGCTCATGAATGTGAAATTTTTTTTACGTTTTGAGTTATTACCAATTTACAAGGTGAAAACCCATTGTTGTAGCAGTTAAATTTGTTTATTATCATATATATTATTTTATTAACTTCTTGTTATGTGACATCAATGAAAACATAGCAAGAATTATATTACAATATCACAATATTTTGCAAAAAGCAAACTTTTCCTCATGTTAACATAAACATGATCATCTAGAGAGTTGTTCTGCAACCATCTTATTCTTACTGAGCTTGCTGTTCAGAAAAATATATTTCTTGCTACCAAATTTCTCAGTAATGTGACAAGTGCACCCTAGAAATCATGTTAGAGAATAACTTGGGAAGTGCTGTCACAGGACTGCCTGAAGATCATTTGAAGGGGTTTAGGAGGAAAGGTGACAGCTACAGGAGAGTAGCTTTGGACCAGAGACAATGTTTGTTACTATTGGATTAATGATTAAGGATGCTTGGAGGTTGAAGTGAATGTCATTAACCCCCTTCTACCAATGTTGGTAGCATAGCCAGATAGTATAAAGTGGATGATTACATTTTACACTGTCTTTTTTCATAGGATGCTTGAAATATTCTGTAAAAAGAAATGGCCTTCTATGAAGATTAATAAACACAAATGAACACAAAATGAATTCTAGAGTTAACAAGACACTGGCAATGAGAATGAGACCTAATCTCCAACGCAAGTATATTTTAATCAGTCCTTTCTCTGGTTGATCATTTGGTTGCATCCTAGGTTGGCAATTTTGTTCCTAATGCAGAAGACTCAATAGCATTATCTCTGTGTTATTCTCTTGCATGTAGAACTTAAAATAGGAATTACAAATATTTCAGGAATAACTGCTATCCTCACTCAACTTGACAATATCTACTCTTCCACTTGCTCAGGCATTCCTGAATTATTTCTGAACCAGAGTTTCTGTGTCTTCAATACAGATATTTGTTAACATGCTGACTGATTCTACACATCCATTGCTTTCAAATACCTAATAGATACTATAGAATTTAATATTTGGGGTTCTAATATGTACCTTCATATATAAAGCTGTCATTTTTAGATATGGAAATTAAGACATTTACTAAAATGA